TTCCTCTGGTTGTTTTTATGCATATGGAACTGCATATGGTATATAAAACACTATCAATTTTATACAATAAACAATGGTACTTCATATATTGTCTTGGGAAATGCTGTTCTCACTTGACTCTTAGATATCTTTCTGTGATAAATATATGCACCTCAATCTTATTTATTAATTGCATAGTATTCCAATGGATATACCAGCTACTAGTAGACATTTAGAAGTTTCTCATTTTTCAATATTGTATGATAATGCTGAACCAAACATGAAATCCATAATCATTTGAATGCTTCTGTAAGATAAATTTCTAGTGGTAGAATTGTGAGGTCAAAGGGTAATTTATACAGAAACAAGTAAATGGTCCTCCAAAAAATTATACCAATTTGTACTCCTACTAGGGTAGAGTGGCTTTTACCTTACTAGCAGGGAGTATTCTCAATACTTTTAATATTTGCTGACTTGACGAGGTGGGGAGGATGGGGGGAGAGAGGGAGAATGAAAGTCACTTTACTATCTTAGGATGCAATTCGTTAATAACTGAGATCAAAACAACTTTTCATAGTTATCAGCCATTTGTATTTCTTTTAAAAATTGTCTGCTAATAACCTGTACTGTTTTTCTGTCCAATTCTTTCTTACTGATTTGTGCATACATTAGATATACTGTCTGCCAAAGATTTTAGAAATGTTTTTCCCAGTCTGACTTAGTTTATGCTAATTTTTCACCAAACATATTTTTTGGCTTTAATTTTTGAGAACTGCTTCTAGAAAGGTTTTGTCCTTTCTAGTTATAAAAATGTTTATTTCGCCCCCCTCAAATATGGTATACTTTAATGGGTTCTTTTTGATTTCAATCTTTGATTTACCTGGAATTTATTTTCATCTAATTATCAGTCCTTACAAAAACCTTAAATGCATGCCAGCAAGGAGAATGAGTTAACAGACTCACATTTTCTAACCATAATAGAATAAAACTAATAAAGTTGAAAGTGGAAATGAAACTAAAGCACTAGGAAAATTTTCCTTGTTCTTTTTAAAAATTCTTGGATTCATAATAATCATACTGTTCAATAATGTGCTTTTTGCATTTTATATACATCATGGTCTTCTTTCCCAAACCATCACTTACAGATCTACCAAAGCAGAAAACAAGCAAACACAAAAATTCATAAATCCCCAACTGCCTGGTAACCATAAATGCAGCATATCTAAAAAACAGCAGAAATCAAAGTGGCAAATCATAATTCAAGCTTTAAAACTTGTAATTCTAAGAAAGACAAAAATGAAAATAAGTATGAATACTTAATGAAATTAGGAATAGAATTTTAAAACTAAGATAACATAAGAGTAATTAAGGACAAAATTAAGGAACTAAAAAATGAAAACTGGTAATTAGACAAATAACTTCAATAGCTGTTATCTGTGGATAAAAACAAAACATAACCTACCTGGTCAGTTCAAAAAGAAGAAGGTAAATATGCAAAATTCAAAAGGAAAAAGGATAATGACCAGATAGAGAAAATTGGCAATATATTACAAGAATATTAAAAGCATAATACATCAAGACCAAATGTAATTAATTCCAGCAATGTAAAGATGGTTCGATTTGAATATCCTCATAGCTCGCTGCTCCTTTCTCTTGATGTTTGTGCCATCTGGGTTTCATGTGCTTAAGACATCCTAGTTTGTGCCTCCTGTCCAGGGATAATTATTTATAGTCCTCTTTCTGATTTAGACAGAAAAATTATATTAACTTACCCATTTATAGACTTCCTTTATTTATTGAAGAATTTGGATCCTGACTCTCAATCATCCTCCTAGTCCTAAATCTCATCATCATCCTGGATGATTTAGAAGTTCAAACGGATTACCATATAAGACAAGCCAGAGACCTGTGCTTGGTTTTAGCTACTTACTCCACGGCCACACCCTAGAATTTTCCTTGTCCATAACGGTCCCAATTCCATAATCCTAAATTCAAGCCTCCCACTCTAATAACATCTACTTTTTAATTTCCAATTCTTAGTTACTACTTTCACTGTATGTCATTGCCATCTCTAGTCCCTAACCATTTCTTTTACCCTATCAACTGACACTCTCCACTTCCTTCCTTTATCCAGTTAAAATCTGAAAATCCTTTGACATGACATTATACGCATCCCTTACCCTTCTGAATTTCTGTAACACCTGTCCAGCTAAACTTGTACCCTACATATATCTAATTCTTTTCTATACCCACACCCAGACTGCTGAGACCAGACAGAAGTTTTATGGACTACACTTCAAATGTAACCTGAATGCTACCAAGCAATCTTTCTGTTTCCATAGGTGTAGCTCTCTTTCAAGTGAAGTCAGTTGGCCTCCAACCTAAATCTCTAAATCGGAGTTTGGTACGCTTTTCATGTGCTCCAACAGTACTTATTAAGCCAAACTATGGCTACTTATTTGCTTATCGTCTTCCCTATACTATGAACTCCTACAGTACAGGAAGTACCTGTCTTCGTTACCTTTTCATTCCTAGTACTTAGCAAAGTTCCTGGAATATAGAATAGGCATACAAACACTGGTTGACTCAAACACAAAGCAGTAATATAGACGTTTTTGTATTGAGAAATGAGAGTATATTTAAGTAGTCAAAACAAGTCGGTGTAAGAAGGAAGAAAAGACAGAGAGAAAAAGAAATGAAAACTAATTTATTACCTGGAGATACTTCCTCTTTCTGTCTGACAGTGTGGTCTTTTGTGAACTTTACCCTCTGATGAGCTCTGATACATGTCTTGCAGAGCCATTCAACACACTCTACACAAAACCCATTAGCTTCTGCATTGTCCTCACAGCTTGTACACACCTGACAATAAAGAAACATGTCACAGGAATTTTTGAGAAAAAGCTGGTCACACAACTAGTTATACATAAATGATATATTAACCATACTGGACTCAATCAGTTTTCTTTTAAACAATGTTTGTAAATTTAAACTGACATTATATGTTAAATTATATCCATATGAAATGGAAAAACTGAATAGGCAAGAATAAAAGTACATTTTCTCCTTAATTCAATATCCCAAATATTCAAGGCACTACGCTAGGTGTTTTGGGTAGAATATCAGGAAAAGTAAACATGGTCCCTTGCTCTTATAACTACAGTCTCATAGAAGAAGTGCAGGTTCAAATTCCAGTTACCTCGCTTATTAGCTGAGTGGTCTTGGGCAGGTTAGAGTACTCATCTTTAAAAGGAGGGTAATATTGATAATACAGATTTTACTGAGTAGTGAAGATGAAAAGGGAAGCAGAAGCACAACACTGGAAGAAGTATACCAACATACAACTACAAACTGTGAAGTACCATAAAGGAAATATACACGAGAAGTTATAAGAGCATATGATGAAGAAATGGATCTTATTTTAGTGGGGTTGGAAGGCTGGGGAAAGACAGTAGAGACTATCCAGCGAAGGCTTTTCCTAAGAAGATCGTATTAGCAAGATATGAAAGTTGAGTCAACAATTACTGGATGAAAAGCCTTCTAGGCAGAGAGAATAGCATGTTCCAAAAGCCCCAGGCAAGAAGAGCCTGTCCTTTAGATTAAAATCCCTTCAACTCTCATCTCCTATTATTGTCATTTCATGCCATCAATACTCTATTTTGTTGATTATTTACGTTACTTTCAAGTTTTCTAGATTGAGCATGCACATGAACTACTAGAGTTCACCTGATGAAGTAAAACTGGTCAGTAATATGACTAACAAAGAATATCTAGTATAAATATATCACGGTTGAAGCGAAGTAATGGATATAACACACTGGAAGACAAAAACAAAATCATTTGTACTCGGAAAGGAACTTCTGAGGAGTTAAGTAAAATTGAGGATGCTTTTAAAACAATAAAAAGAAGTGTTTTCTACGCACATATTTAAAGTGAACCCTAAATTCCTGTAGTTGCCCCAAGAAACAAAAAGCTGAAAATGAAACAAGAAGTACAGAAGTTAGCTATGTGATTACTAAAAAGAGTTGTCATAAACATAGCTAATAATTTTTCCCTAACCAGATTTAGTTCCTTTCCAGATTTTCTGTTCCAAATTAAAGCAGTTATCTAGAGGAAAAATCAATGAATCATGATCCAAAAGTAGACCAATAACCATATTTCACACATGCTATAGAATTAATCTCAGCATGGCTAACCCCTGCTGGAGTACTTACACATCTTCCATGATGGATCTGACATCTAGATTTAAGAGGCCGGCCATCAAAATGTTCTACATGTGAGTTATGAAAGTAAGAAAGAAAACCACCACTGGATCTCTAAATCCAACACCTTGCATAATGCTACCAAATGAGGCTTTCAAATTAATACCATATTAAAAAGATGACTTTTTTTTTTTTAGAATGTAGAAACCTTACTGGTCAAAGACATGGTGTTTTTCTTATGTATCGTTGTAGAATTTATTATTAAAATAGAAAAAAATGAAAAAGAGCTCTAAATAAAAATCTAGTTAGAAATACATAGTGAAAGTACAAAGAAATAAAATAATATCAAATATAGTCTAATGGTTTTCTCTGGAGGGGACAGGGAATGTGGGATGCAATCATGGGCTTTAGTATTGGCACTGTTTTATCTCTTAACTGAATTTTTCATTATATACCTTTTAAAATATGACATAATTTTATAGATTAATGGCCTATCGTTTGGCTCCTTTTATTTTAGAGTCCTCCAGCATTTTAGGTTGCCTTATCAAGAAGGGGCAAACGGTTCGAGATTTAATACACTTACCTGATTAGACTTTTCTACTGTACTGCTGGGAACCTCAGTAGTGTCCTTCACAAAAAAATTATCTATGATGTGTCTCTCTGCACATTCTTGGCTGCAAACTGGGCATCGAATGACTCCAACTGGGAAAGACAAAATTGCATTCTAAGTTTTAATACAAATATACTGTGTACTAAACCAACACATCTCATCCAAGCTGTGACTGTGTTCTTTTACAGGATCTACACTCTTTTTTTTAAATTCATACCTGCTGTTACATGACAAAAAGCATATGTGAACTTTATTTATATACACTCACACAAAATATATTAAATCATGCACAAATCCTCATATTTCTAAATGAGATCCCTCACGCCCCTGCCACTAAATATCCCCCCATGGGCTGTTTTTACTGTTTAGCAACTTCTCTAAGCAGCGGTTTTCAAACAGGGATGTACAGAACCACATAAGAGATTCTTAAAAGAACAAGCAGCTCTGGTTTTCTAGATCTATAGAATCAGTATTTCTGTAAGTAGAGGACAGAAATACTCATTTTATTTAAAATCTGCACAGAAGATTAAGAATCACTATAATCTGTTTCCCTTTAACAAAGGTAAATACTATTTCTTTGAAAAAAGAATCATCTTTTGTTGTGCTTGGTAAAACAATTATGAATGAATTAAAATTTAATATAAATTTGATGCATAATTCATACCAAAGAGGCTACAGTAAGGTTCCCAGATATATTTTTTAAATTAACTGCGTAACAAAGAACACAAAGTAATCTAAAGGCTAATCTCATTCGTATATAAAAATTTTAATTTTAAAAAGTTTCCATTTCACAATAGCAACAAAAATATATTAAGTACTTGGGAATAAATTTTAAAAGGTTGTGTAATATCACTGTGAAGAAACATGTTAAGCTATATTTAAAAACACTTAAAAATATTTAAATCATGAAGAAAACATGTTGTGATGGTAAAGACGCCAATGTTCCCCAAACATATCTATAGACCCAACAGAGTTCTAGTAACAATCCCAACAGGGATTTCAATAGAATTTTGATGAGGTGAGGGGACATACCTACCAAATAGGTTATTAAGTATGAAATGTCTGATTTCCTTAAGTACTAAGTTTGACAGTTGGTATCTCTGACATTTCACTTTGACACTTGTCTTACTTTTATTGTGAAGGTACATCTTCAGTCTTCCAAACGCATGTTTTGGCTTGTGATTATCTTTCAATTTTTTTTTTAGAACAATTTTACGAAACCATGGATGAGTCAAAAATTCAAGTTATTTTTGAATACAAGTTCCAACGTGGAACTAACACAGCATAGACAGCTCAAAATATGAATTAAGTGTTTGGGAAGTATGTGGCCAATGAATGCACAGAATGCTGATGGTTTGAGAAATTCCATTTTGGTGATTTTTTAATCTTGAAAATGAGCCACATGGGAAACCTGAGACCAAAGTGAATAAAGATGAGCTGAAAGCTTTAGTGGAAGCAAATCCATCTCAATCTATGCATGAATTAGCAGCAAGGCTTGACATTATTATTCCAACAATATTGGACCATTCGAAACAAATTGGCAAGGTAAAGAAGCTAGATAGATGGGTTCCGCATGAATTAAATAAGCGTCAAAAGAGAAATTGTCTCAAAGCCTTTTTTCGCTGTCACAACACCGTTTTGTTATGTGTGATGAAAAATGGATTTTTTTTGACAATCACAAGTATTCAGCACAATGGTTAGATAAAGATGAAGTGTCAAAACACAGTCCCAAACTGAATATTCATCAAACAAAGTTAATGGTGTCTGTCTGGTGGTCCAGTGCTGGTATTCTCCACTACAGCTTCATGAAACCTGGTCAGTCCATTACAATAGATGTCTACTGCAACCAATTGGATGAAATGATGAGGATGCTTGTGATTAAGCAGCTGAGACTGGCCAACAGAGGCAGGCCAATCCTTTTGCAAGGCAATACTCAACCACATGTCTCACAAACAAAGCTGCTCAAACTACAGAGTCTGGACTTGGAAACTCTCTGTCAACCACCATATTCACCAGACCTTGCACCTACTGACTACACCTTCTTCCAGGCTTTGCACTACTTCTTGCAGGGAAAAATATTCAATTCTCAACAAGCTGTGGAAAACACCTTTTGCGATTTCATCACCACTCTCTCTCCAGGCTTCTTTGCTGCTGGCATATACAATCTACCATTAAGATGGCAAAACTGTGTTGATAGTTTAGGCGCATACTTTTATTAATTGTACTGCTTTTTGCTTGAGATAATAAACTACACTTTTGATTAGAAATCAGACATTTCATGTTTAATGACCTATTAATAAGAATTACTATAAAGCTATATAGTAATTAAAATGGTGTGATATTTATGTAGGGGTAAATAAAAACAGACAGAACACACATACCACAAACAGGCTTACATATATGTACACTTTATATATGACAGATGTGGCACTAGAAACCAGTGGAAAAAAGGATGAACTTTTCATGTTGCTGAAACTACTATTGGGAGGTGGAGGATGAAATTAGATCACAACTTAATCTGATCCAAAAAATAATTATTTTGAACGAATTAAGAACTATAAAACTTTCACAATAAAATATAGGAGGATATCTTCATGACCTTGGAGCAGGAATAAATTTCTTAAGAAACAAAAAACAAGAGCTATAAGGGAAAGATTAATATATTCAACTCTGTTACAGAACTACAGCTAGTCAAAAGATTACCATAAATAGAGAAGATAAGCCCCAAACTGGAAGATACGTCTAAAACAAAATATTGGCAAAGAATTTTTAAAATCTGTAAAAATGTCACAATGCATTTCACAGAAAAGAAAGATGGAGTATATACATAATTTTCACTATACTCCTGATGGGAGCCTAAACTTCCATTCTCACCCACCAATAAGGAGGCAGCCCTCGCCATCCGGATGTCAATGAAGGCCGAGTAGGGAACACAGACTTCAACTCCCATCTTGGAGTAGGTAGTAAGTTTTGAGGGCAGAAGTCAATGAAATTGAAAATTTAAAGTAGAGAAAAGTTGATGAAACAAAAAGCTGATTATATGAAAAGGTCAATAAAAATCAACAAACCTCCAGCAAGGTTCACAAAGAAAAAGACATAACTTGTGAACAAAAGAGGATAGACTATCACTACAGACCAAACAGACATTAAAAGGATACTGGGGGTCGGGCGCAGTGGCTCACACCTGTAATCCTAGCACTCTGGGAGGCCGAGGCGGGTGGATCGCTCAAGGTCAGGAGTTCGAGACCAGCCTGAGCAAGAGCGAGACCCTGTCTCTACTAAAAAATAGAAAGAAATGATCTGGACAACTAAATATATATATATAAATTAGCCGGGCATGGTGGCGCATGCCTGTAGTCCCAGCTACTCGGGAGGCTGAGGCAGAAGAATCGCTTGAGCCCAGGAGTGTGAGGTTGCTGTGAGCTAGGCTGACGCCACGGCACTCTAGCCCAGGCAACAGAGCAAGACTCTGTTTCAAAAAAAAAAAAGGATACTGGGGGAAAACTAAGAACCTGTACAAACATAAATTTGACAGTTTTGGTAAAATGGACCAATTCCTTGAAAAGCACACAATACCATGACCCACCCAGTATTAAATAGATAATTCGAATAGCTCTGTAAATATATGGTAATTGACTGGTTCTAAGCAAAATGAAATAGCTGTAAGCCTAACAAAACATGCATAGGACTTTCATGCCGAAAATCACAAAATGTTGATGAAGTCAGATAAGATCTAAGTAACTGAAGATGCAGTGTTCATGGGCTGGGATAATCAATATATTAAAGACATCAATTCCCCTTAATGTGATCTATAGGTTTAAAACAACTCCTAATATAATCTCAGCAACATTTTTTTGTAGATAGGCCTGTTTTAATATTTATATGGGAATACAAATGCACTATAATAGCTAAATCAATATTGTAAAAGAAGAATAAAGTGAAGGAACCACTCTACTCAATTTCAAGACTTACTATATAGCTATAGTAATCAGGAATGTGTGTTAGTGACAAAGGGACAAAAATATAGTTGAATAAAACAGAATAGAGACCCTAAAATAGACCATACAAGTAGGATCAACTGATTTGACAGACAGAAAAGGATCTTTCTGACAAATATAAAATGCGGATGAGAGAAATTAAAGACGATTTAAATTTTCAGAGAGATATACTGTGTTCATGGACTGGAAGACTTAACATTTGTAAACATGTCAATTGTGCACAAATTGACCTATATGTTAGTGCATTTCTATAAAAATCTCAGCAAGATTTTTTTTATAGATACATGCAAGATTATTCAAAGATTTTATATTAAAAGGCAAAGGGACTAGAACAGCTAAATCATTTTTGAAAAGGAATGAAATGAGAAGAATGACTATACCCAATTTTAAGACTGATATTAATATATATATACAGTAATTGAGACAGAGTAGTATTGGGAAGGACAGTCACAGAGATGAATGAAAATAATAGAACCCAGAAATATTCCCACACCAGTGAGACTGATTTTTGACAAAGGTGTGAAAGCAATTCAATTAAAGAAAAAAAGTACTTTCAAGCAAATAATGCTGGAACAACTAGGTACACACAGGCAAAAAATTGAACTTTAACCTAAACTTCACACTTTACATAAAAATTAACTCAAAGTAGATCAGAAGAGTAAAGTGCAAAGCATAAAACTATTTAGAAGAAAATGTAAAAGATCTTAAGGACTTAGGACTTAGTGAAGAGTTCTTAGACATGATACCAAAAACACAATTCTGTAAAAGAAAAACCTTGGCTGGGCATGGTGGCTCATGCCTGTAATCCCAGCACTTTGGGAGGCCAAGGCTGGAGGATCACTTTAGGCCAGGAGTTCAAGACTAGCCTGAGCAACATAGGGAGACCCTGTCTCTACGAAACATTTTTAAAAATTAGCCGGGCATAGTGGTGCATGCCTGTAACCTTAGCTACTCAAGAGGCTGAGCCAGGAGGATCACTTGAGTTGAAGGTTGCAGTGATCACGCCACTGCATTCCATTCCAACCTGGGCAACAGAGCAACAGAGCAAGACTCTGTGTCATCCCCCCACCCAAAAAAAATGCTTGCATTCAAGA